TGAGATCCCATGCTACTGCCATTCCAAAGGACTGCTAATATCCTGCCCTTGTGCTGTTCATACAGATCAAGCTAAGGCCGATATAATCGCGGGCCAGCCTGTGAATTACACACAGAAAATGAGACGGAATAAAGACAGTGTGTAAGGGGCTAGAGGGAGTCTCACACAGGACACTGTCATACACATACAGCCTATTAGACAGATGGAGGGAGTCAGAGACACAGCCCAGCCTTCTTTAAAGATGGGGGTTGGGTGATAGAACACAAAGAGGAAGGTGGAGAGAGGAGCAATACAGTGCCGTGTGAGTGCTGGGAATAATACCCAACCCCCCTCCCAGCATGAGGTCTCTCTTGCTCTGCCAACACAAGGACAACTCTCATCCTGTAAGCTGACAGCGAAGATGCAGTGTCTTTGGCATCTTTGGTGTGAGAGGCTGAGTAGAGGAGCACCTTCAGCAGCCAGCCTGCCAGGCAACAGCCTGTGCTGTGATCCCCATGTTTATACTCTTTGTATTTAACCTCCAAACCTGGCACAGTTAAGCACTGAACATCTCTCTTAATGAAATGAGCAGTCTGGGCTGAAAAACCTAGCATGTATGGTGAACAAAAACACATAGTTGAAAGTCTGGGCCCTGCATGTTAATCTCATCTCATCTCATTTTCTATACCGCTCAGTCCCGAACGGGGTCGCGGGGGGGCTGGAGCTGATCCCAGCCAGCATCGGGCGAAAGGCGGGACACACCCTGGACAGGTCGCCAGTCCATCCCAGGGCCCTGCATATTAATATACCTTGAAATTTTAATTGATTTAATCATTTGTGTGGTTAGAAAAAACAGCCCAGATACAGTCTTGCTGTGTCTTAAATGGTGTAGAGGTCATGTCCTCCCCAGTGACTGGTCAGCACTGTAAACTGCACAAGCAGAGGATTAGGATGTACACTGTCTGATTTAATCTATAGTCAGGGGGAGGTGCTCAGTGCCAAACGTCTGAGCATCTGCCATCACTCTCAGTGACACTTAAATTTCCATTTCTCTCAACATTATATGGAAACAAAATGTATTCACAGTGCTCAGCGCCTCTTTTTACTGGTTCTAATAACAAGGATAATCACCTTTATTTGGCCAAGTATGTTACACACACAAGGAATTTGTTTCCAGTACAGAAACGAGGCAGCCAACTCACACCGATAGCTCTTGGGGGTTCAATGTCTTGCCCAAGGAAAGTTTGACCTGTGGACTGCAGGCACCGTGACGCGAACCTCCAACCCTCCAGTTGGGATACGACCACTTTACCCACTGAACCCCAGTCGCCCCTCTTTCTAGTTAGTAAAATTCCTTCACAAACCCTTTACACAATTACAGTTACAAGGAACTGTTGGCTTGCAGTGTGTAAAAAGTGCAAAACTAATCTACAAGCTCACAAAGAAATGTTATTTGAAAAATTCAAGATTTACAACACAGCAGTTCAGACAGCCAGACTAAATGACTAAGACTGTTTACATACTCATTTTGCGCATGCACAATTGCACACCCATTGCTGAGTATTGAAACTTCACAGCTCCCATGTAGCATATATTCTCTCTGCATTATATTGTGTTCTTGTTGTATTTTTATTTGCTCCCTTCACCTGCTGCTTTAAAGTGCCTTAGATTTGTGTTATTGCTCATCTTCTTTATATTTCACTTGTTTTATGTGGCATTCATGTGGACAGCAAAGTAAGAATTTCATTGTACAGGGAAACAGGTTTCCTAACTGTGCATATGACAAATAAACACTTTGAACCTTGACCTTTGACTGATTGAGGGGTCAATGGAGTGGGAAATATAAATGCTTAAAAAAATATAATATCCCTTATATTGTAATCATATTTTTATTTCTCACTATTCTCTAAAGACATCTGCCTCTAAGAAGGTTGGGGTTTTATTTGACACTTTTTTGCTTTTTTAATTTTTATTCAAAAGATGCAAACATGCATCCTTCCCTCCAGTCAGCCATTGATTTCAGTTCATTTCATTACCACAGTTTGCAGTTTCATGAGAAGATAGATTTTCTGATTTGATGTCTGTCAAAATTACATTGTTGTTTGATAACAACAATGTAATCATCTGTTTCAGGTAGCTGTCCTTATAAATGACTGTGCTTGGGCCCAGGAGCTTTTCTGTTTTGCAGCAGGCCTGTACAAACCTTTGTCCCTGCACATTTCCTGTCATCTCCTTCAGCCTAACAGCTTAATCCACAATGGCACCTGCTTCATTTCCATCAGTGTTGTGACTCTGAGTCAGGTTCCTTATTGTTTGCCTGGGAACACTGAGGTTACAGTACTGTCAGATTACTCAGCAGATCTGATGTTAAAGCGTTGGCTGCTTCCTCCAGTGGAGATGGAGTGTTTTCTCTTGGAAAGCAAAAGCCCCGTACAAGTGACTGGGGCTCAGGGAAGTGATGGAAGGGGAGGCTGGTGTAGTATTGCTCAACCTGGTTATGAAAGGGTACCTAAAGTGTCATGCACATTGTCTGTCTCTGATTGGCCACTGTCTGTAGTTTCTTGTCTTGTTGCCTGTCCACTCCAGATTCTGTAGAGAGCAGGACATTTAGATGACAATGGCCCTAATGTTGATGAATTTGACTTTACTCATACACTAGGCATTGCTAACAGCTGAAATGTTTCAAACGTCATGGCAGCTAATGACCAGGAAGCATTCTGTGTATCCTCATTGTCATCCTCTTCTTCCTTTCACAGTTTTTTTCC